TATCCCTATATATATTTTTTTTAATATATATTATTGATTTGAGAGAGAAAGGGAGAGGGAGAGAGACAGAAACATCAATGATGAGAGAGTCACTGATCCTGCAGGTCCCCTACTGGGTATCAAGCCCGCAGCCCAGGCATGTGCCGACCAGGAATCGAATCACAATCTCCTAGACCATAGGTGGATGCTCAACCGCTGAGCTATGCCGGCCTATCCCTATTTTGAAAAGCTCCACAGGTGAGCCCTGGCCTTTATGGCTCGGTTGGTTGAGCATCTGATGCACCAAACGGTCACCACTTTGATTCCTGGTCAGGGCACATGCCCGGGTTGCAAACTTTGATCTCCAGTAGGGGGCGTGCAAGAGGCAGCTGATGGATGTTTTCTCTCACTCTCCCTTCCTCTCTCTATAAATAATCAGTAAAAATATTTTTTAAATATATAAATAAATAAAAGCTCCATAGCTGAGGTTTTGATAATAGAATGCCAATTTCTTCAATCAGTAGCCTATATTTGCTTTTCTTTTTACTGGAGATTTTCGTGTGACATCTTAAGGTTATACTACTCAGGCTTCTGAATTTCACCCCTGAAAAGACAGAAGCAATCAAAAGAACATTCTAAACTTCAAGGTTTCCATCATGGGTACATTTACTTTGAAAACAGTATAAATTACTGCAGCCAGGCATAAGATACCAGCTCCCATGAACTAGTCCCCAACTAAAAGGTGTGTCTTTTTAAGTTCTTCCTCAAGTATTCAGCTTAAAATGCTCTAAAGTTTTGTTCAAAATTCAGGGCCTTACCTCTAGATCTATTGAATCAGAATCTCCAGAGGAGCTAGGGAATACTACGTTTAACAAATTCCAGATAATTCTTACGATCAGACAAGTTTGGAAAACACTGTTGATGGATATTAAAAGAAGAGTTAAGAAATTTTGGAACAGGCTCTCTCCAGAGTACACCCATGCCTTTCTTCCCTCTTAGGCTTGCATCTTTACTTTTCTCCCTTAAACTCTAAGGGTCCCCATAAGACTTGCAATCAGGGGAGCAATGGGCAGCAGCAGTTTGTCCAGGGGTAACCCCCTTAACTTGTCTCCAAAGCCCCCTTTCTCTGACTTTTCAGTGAGCTAACAGCAGCCCCGCCTTGGCTCACTTCTTTCCTATAACATTTCTAGGGAACCAAAGCAGACCACCATCTAGGCTCTCTCCTGCTGCTTCTTTTACCCCAAGTCCTTCCTCTGTTTCACTATCCTCAGCTTTAATAAACATACTCTCAGAATCTCACACTCACACACACACACACACAAAAAAAAATGTGGAGATAGCATAAATGCAATAGTTACACCTTCACACTTAGACCCTTGTATTTTCTCATGACTCACTGGAATTACTCTTGTTAAACAATAATGGCAAACTATCTGATTCAAAATCATCTCTGCTTGAGTCTTGTTTCTGCCAGTGATATTCCATTTGGAACCAGAAGAAGGGAGAAAATGAAAGTGTTATCTCATAGTTCAGTTTTCAGTTTCTCATACAAGTCCTCTTGATCAATCATATGTGTGTGCCCATTCCAGCGGTGATAGGCAAGGAGAGCGGCATTGTGGGCTGCAATGGCACTCATTTCCATGGCACTTGCTGCACACTCTATGCCATTGAGGTAATAGAGTCGATCACGGAGTATGATGGAGGGGCATTTCTCTGGAGGCTTATAGATAGGATATGCATACCATTGCTGCTTCACAGAATCATCATAGGACAAAAAGAGCTTTAATATTTGCTCTTTAGTAAGAATTTCCGGGGAAAAGGTCTTCCAAACAAAAGCTCCATCTGTTGATGGTTGAGGCTTATTATTTTCTCTTACAGAGGACACAATCCCAATGCTGTTAATAAACAAATCTGAATTATCAGTGGTTAAGATTGTACTGAGATCAAATTCACCTAAGGCTCTAGAGCTAAAAGTAGTTGAATTCAACTTCCCCTTAATAAAAGTTGCCACTATATGTTGGTAGTATTGATGAAATTCCTCAATTGGAGGATCAAAGTTGAGAAAAGTTATATTGGACATTTTTCGATTCAATGGAGTGGCCACCAGGACGATGTCATAAAAGTCTGAACGGGTCTCAGATCCAGTTTGGTAGACCACTTCATACATCTTTGTGGGGTTTCCTAGAAGAAATAAGTAAGCATACATTTCTTTAGTGTTTCTAACATACTATATTTTATACCTCCTAAAAATAATTCTATACCTTCTTAATAGTTTATAATCCTAAGGAATTAAAGACTGTATCCTTTAAGCCCTGGCCAGGTAGCTCAGTTGGTTAGAGCATCGTCTCTATACACCAAGGCTGCAGTTTCTATCCCCGGTCAGAACACATACAAGAATCAACTAGTGAATGCATAAATAAGTGGAACAACAAATCGACATTTCTCTCTCTCTAAAAAACAACAACAACAAAAAAAACTTTACCCATTAGATAACTGTCTCAAACTGAGGCCAACTTCCTACTTAGAATAAAAATAATACCTTGTCAATAAGTACAAAATAAGGAATTTTTACTTTTAAGAATGACATTTTTTAAATCCAAGGAGTCATGCAACTGTACTTGAGTACATCTGGGAATATTTCCACGTGGCACAACACATACAATTTAAAACTCCATCATTTGGAGCTGAATGAGAAACAGAGGAAGAAAGGTTTTTTTCCTTGAGCAATTATTTTCTACAGGGGAAATCGGGAACAGTAAAATAAAAATTCAAGCTCACCTGTCTGCTTGGTCCCTGTTTTCTCCTCTATGTACATTACTGAGCCAGGTATAAGGTTGCTTTTGGAAGCTTGAAGGAGCCTTGAGCAAACAAGTTTATTGCCACCTTCTACTGCCCAAAGGCCAGAATCAGCACCAGATAGTGAAACTGCCCCTGTCAGCAGTAGGGAAAAAATGTACTTTAATTTTAACTGTGTAAGAAGCCCTCCACCCACTCTCCCTTCCCAGTTAGGTGAGTTCTGCTCCAAATGTTTCCACACATTGCCAAATTTTGCCCTGGAGACAAAATGTCACCCAGCTGAGAACCATTCTAAGGACTCTCTCCCCATAAAAATGCACATCTACATTTACACAACTTTGCCAACAATGTCTGAGGTTTCCCAGAGAAAGGAAGTCTTCTCCAATGCATGGCTTAGGTCAGGAGTCACCATAATATCAGGTATGCCCCTCTGTGAACCAGTTCTGTAACTGTTCCAAGCCTTGGCTTACCTACAAAGCCATTGATGCCTGTGCTTTGGCCGTAATTAAGCCTATGGATGGGAGCAATCATTTCATGGAGGAATTTCTCAGAGAAGCCTGCTTTCTGCAAGGTTTCAAGAAATGTTCGGTTAAGCATTCCAAGGAAGTCGTCCCCTCCTAGAGAATGTAGTAAGTTTTCTACACTACTGAAGGCATAGTCATGAGACTGGTAGCGGTAGATCCTTTTGAAAAAAAGAAAAATGGCCATTAAACACCAAACAAGACAGGGGTAAGGGGACGCTTAAAGACGGGAAATGGCATCGTAAGACTCAAACTGACTTTCAGATGCCTCTCTGATGAGTTCCTACTTAACATGTGAGATGCACCTCAGCCACCGTCTTACCCAGGTATCCCAGAAGCTCTTAGCCCTCCCTCTCCCGCTGCCTCCTCTGGAAGTCCATTGTCCTTTGTATATACTCTTCTGCATTGATTTGGTCACTGGGAACACCTTTACAGAAGTGGGTATGCCTTGTTCTCATTCATCTTTTTAACTTCCAGTAACACTCAGACTTGTCTAAAATTGTAACTTTATCTTTTCACCAGGCTAGATGCTCTCCACCCACTCCCCACCCCAAACAAAAACAACAGGACACACCTAACATCCAACATGTCATCCTCAGTTCACTCAGTTTCAAACTGAAACTTTTTCACTTCTCCTTTCTGCTTCTCCCACCCAAGAAGGAAACCTTATCAATCTTTCCAATGTCTCTCTCTTTACTTCATTCTCATTTTCCTGATTTTAAGTCAGGATTTATTTTCAAACTATTAAAATGAGTAACTGATCTACCTGCTTCTAGTTTCTTTCAATAAATCTCCCACAAGCCCTAAAATACCTTTTTTATTTTGTAATCTACCCACTTATTCAAAAACATCTTGCCTACTACTGCTTACTAAATAAAGTCCTGACTTTTTTTTCCTTAAATCATAGATTTTAGAGCAAAACTCATCAACCCTAATTCCTTTGCTCTAAGTGCAGATAAAGAAACAAAGTAGAAGTACTAAAAGAACTTGTTGAGCCCTGGCCAGTGTGGTCAGTTGGTTGGTCGCCGTCCTGTGCACTGAAAGGTTGCTGGTTCCATTTCTGGTCAGGGCACTTGCCCTGAGTTGTGGGCTCAATCCCCAGCAAGAGGCATGCAGGAGGCAGCCAATAGATAATTCAGTCTCACACTAATGTTTCTCTCTCTCCCTCTCCCTCTAAAAATCAATTTAAAAATTTTTTTTAAAATAAGAAAAATCTTATGGCAAGTAGAAGGCTCAAGCACAACTTGCCCCCTCTGCCCTCATCCCCCCACAGACACACACACTCACGCCCTCCACTTGAGCACACCTGACCCATTCACTGGTCTCTAAATATGCTCTGCATATTACTCCCCAACACTGTACTGCCTCTTCCCTTCCACTGGAATACACTTCCCATTCCTAAACACAGAACAGCTACACTTCCTTCAGAGCTTGAATCACACCTCCTCTGCAAAACTTTGCCCAACTTCTCAGTCTACAGTGATGTCTCCAAAAGTCCCATAAAACTTAGCACCCGTGCTGCTCATGCCACTCATTCAGCACCTAGATACTACACTGTATGATATAATTTTTGGAAAATGCCACCTGACATTTCTCTGAACTTTATGGACTTAAAAGAATGTCCACATAAATTAGTTCAAACATAATTCAATACATAATTTTTCAGATAGCAAGTGATACAAAAATGAGAAAGACATGGTTCCTTTGCCTCAAGAAGCTTACAGTTAGGAACAGGTAATAAGTTACATGCATAAAAAGTATATAGAAAAAAGGAAGAAATAAGTGTCAAAGAAAGATCTCTATCAGTGATCAAGGGAAGAGAGTTTTACATCAACCTTCTTCTCCAAAATAAACTAAATTTTTAGAGCAGGCGACAATGTCATATCCATTTTAACATTACCTACTGTCTACCAGTGTAGTGTACAAAGTATTTTGTGGGAAAAAATAATATAAGTGCCAAAACTGAGAAACTAAAGTAACTCCTTCTAACCACTTCATTTGGCTTCTAGGTCCTAGGAAATTGGGAAAAGATGGAACTCAGTTCTTTAGAAAAATAATAGACTGAGTATCTCATAAAATGAAGAGTGGCTAATGTACAGAGTGACCACTGGCTAACAGCATGACAAAAATAACTTACATATGATGTTATAAAAAATTATTCCCCACCTTCTCCCACCTGAGCCCCAACCCCACTCAAGCAAGCCTCCTAAGTAAAGGCCTCCTAGAGGGTGACATGAGCCTGCATACACCATATAAACACTGAGCATTGTAACTGTTTTACAGTACTACTTGCATTAGAATACATATTTACTAAAAAGTTAGACATGTAACTAGCAGTTTCTGCTAATCAAATTGCTTATACAGCATTTTCTCTTCTCAAGCTACATTTGTATACCTCTTTGCACTTATTTATTCATTCACTTATTCAGTCAACAAATATTTATGGAGCATCAACTTCAGTGTTCTAGATGTCAAAGATGCAGAGCTCAACACAACATAGGGGAAAAAAAACCCTGCCCTGATGGAGCTTGTGTTCTAGTTGGGGAAATGGTAATAAAAAACTAAATAAATGTGAGTAAATTACATAATTTAGAGGATGATAAGTATTAAGGAGGAAAGTAAATAAAATAGGAAGATTAGGCCCCTGGCCAGTGTGGCTTAGTTCATTGGGCATTGTCCTGTGCACTGAAAGGTTGTTGCCGGTTCGATTCCCAGTCAGGTCACATACAATAATCAACCAACGAATACATAAATGAGTGGAACAACAAATCAATGTTTCTCTCTCTCAGTCTCTCTGTCTCTCTCAAATTAATAAAAATTTGCCCAGCCAGCGTGGCTCAGTGGTTGAGCGTCAACCCATGAACCAGCAGATCATGGTTTAATACTCAGTCAGGGCACATGCCCATGCTGCAGGCTTGATCCCCCAGTAGGGGTCATGCAGGAGGTAGCTGATCGATGACTCATCAATGACATTTCTATCTCTCTCTTCCTCTTCCTTCCTCTCTCTGAAATCAATAAAAACATATTTTAAAAAATAAAAATATATATTTTAAAAGAAAAAAAGAATCAACTAGTGAATGCATGAATAGGTGGAGCAACAAATCAGTATTTCTCTCTCTCCCACCCTTCCTCTCTAAAATCAATAAATTTAAAAAAGAAAAAATGATACATACAAGTGGCACTACAAATGATGCCATTTTCCTGAGCATGTAGCAGCATGCCACCTACCTTCTTTAAAAAGTGACTGCCTGTCTCTACACAAATTATATATATATATATATATATATATATATATTTTTAAGT